CCACACCATCTTGGTCTTCATACCTAAGAATAATACAGCTTTTATTCAAGACATACTGACAATTTAAAATACTTCTCACTTTGAATACAAGTAGTGCATCATCTTTCAATTTAAAACACAATGAAGGGAGTAGAAGACCTCTCAAAAGGCAATCTAATTAGAGCTTGACTGCGGTTTCGACAGTCCCCAACGTGATTCGAAACCGGTATACGCTGCCATCCACTTCGATTGTAATAGCAAATATAAGTTTGCCACATTCGCACGAGACCCACCGGAAATGTGCATTTTATGGGGACTGGCTTGCCTTGAAAGTAGCATCTGTCCTGTGACGCCCCTGAAGCACACGGCACGATTTAGAGTCCCGTTGGATGAGCTGATTAGACCCAAACAAGGTGGAAACTGTAGTCATGCTCGTAAAAGAAAACCGTTATGGATGCAAGACTAAATGAAATTCACTGCGATGATGAGTACTCCTCATTTAATTGTAGATACTTCGGTATCTACCTAAACTTATCTTAAGCTATCTAGGTTGACTCGGGTTATCATTCAAGATATGTAAATAGCTTTGAAACCTACTTGTTTGGATATAACAATTTTCAACTTGCTTGTTCTGCATGCGATTCATTGTGAGTTTAATTCATTTGTATATTTGTTCACATAGACACATCTTTCGTACGACCACTGTGTTACTATATTACACTTTGGCAACTACCCTTCTTATTCATTAACACTATGGTTATGTTTCTCAAATTAACTTTAATATTATTAGAGAATATTGTGACTTGTCCACTTCCTGTCCCACACATTTTTCTCATTTGCACCAACCCAGCGCTGACGGTCATTATGAAGTTTCGTGGGAGCCGAATATTCTAGTCTACTCTAATGGCCAAATCCTCTGGATGCCTCCGGCTATCCATGTCAGCTCCTGCACCATTGACGTCCAATACTTCCCATTTGACCAACAGATTTGTCAACTCAAGTTTGGCAGTTGGACATTTGATGCAACTCAGGTTAGCCTCCTACTTGCGAAGAGCCTTATATTGTAATAGTAGTCTTTAAGATAAACTTATAGGAGCGAAAGCAGCATCTTGTTTGCTGGAAGAGGTCTACTCAATGAAGGCTTAAATAGTATACCGATCGAGTTTCTGATATATATGCAAGCAACCGAAGCTGAACTCGAGATTATCAAACCAGCAGTACAGGCGCAAATTATCTCAAGGAGACTCTAAGAGCAAAATGAGTGGAGCCCTTGAACTCAAGTA